GTGGCACATGCGTTTAATCCCAGCACTCTGGAGGCAGAGGCAGGTGGATCTCTATGAGTTTGAGGTCCACTTGATTTACATAGTGAATTCCAGAGGCTGGCCAAGGAGATAGATAGATAGATAGATAGATAGATAGATAGATAGATAGATAGATAGATAGATTGAGATTCAGTCTCATCTCAGCCCAGAAAACAAAATAGAGATGAATTAGGTATGCAAGACCAGCACACCCTTTGTTAAGCAGCTTTGATGAACTCATGTTGTTCTGTTTATTAATTTTGGTTTGACTCTTGTGCAAATCTCAAGTGTGATGAAATAACAAAGGCATATTAAAAAAATGAAGATTAGTATCATTTACTGACTCAGAGGTGAGTCAGCAGCAGCAATCTGGGGTTTGGCCTGTCTTTGTATAGAGAGAGTAAAAGGCTGGGCCCTTCATATTTAGCTGATTTTCCTCTTTTACAGCATAGTTATATTAACAAGATAGTGGAAAAAGAAGCACAGAAAAGCACGCTCTTAACTTTCCTTCCCAAGGCTTGTTTTCTGGGTAACAGGAAGAGACATTTCCTTCAGCTCACTGCCACGCCTATTTTCCATTTTGCCGGTAGGCTCTGTGTTTGCCCACCTGGGCTCCTGGGAATCCTCAGAGGCACATGCTCCATTCCTCTGTGTGCTTTAGTATCCTGTTGCCTGTTGAACTTCTGCCACGGGACAGACACCCTGCTGGAGGCAAGCCTGTGGCAGGGCTTTGCAAATTTTCCACTGGCTCATCACTCCCAGGAGGGGAAACAAATGTGAACCTAGCAGGGCCTGGGGTGGGGGGGTGTACAGCAGGCCCACCAAGCACTGGGAAATCAGGGATTTGACTTTATGGAAGCTATGAGAAGGCTGTATTCTTTGACAGCAACACCTATATTTGTTTTAGGGGTTTGGTTCGGTTCGGTTCAGTTCTGTTCGGTTTGGTTTGGTTTGCTTTGTTTTTGAGACCAGGCTGCCCTCAAACTTGTGTCAATCCTCCTGCGTCTGTCTCAGAGTAGATAACAATAATAATAATTAGTGATATATGCCTGTAGTCACGACACTTAGGAAACTGAAGAAAAGACAATTGCAATAGGTTTGAGGCCAGCCCTAGGCTAAACGGTGAATTCCAGGCTAGCCTGGGCTATAGTGTGAGACCCTGCCTCAAACAAACAAACAAATAAATAAATAAACAAATAAAAACTCCACCATAATAACAGTAACAACTAGGTCCTCCTTGAATCTTCAGGTCAGTGTTGCACTCAGACAGATATAACGTTCCTTTCTCCTCTGGCTCTGAGACACCCCCCCCCACCCCACCCCACCCCCCACCACCACCCCCCCCCCCCGGGCACCTTGCTACATAATGTGAAGTTTGCTTTGACAGGCACTGTTGGTGGTTAAATTACTACTTAATGCTCTTTCCTTTGCATTACAGACTCAGCACTCAGGACCATCTGATTTGTGCACTGCTCTGTGTCAGCAATGTAGGCTTTCAATAGACATTTGTTGAATGAATATGTCTGAGCCTGAGAAACCCCACAGCATTGAGAATTAGAAAATGTTGCCTGTTTGCTGGGGGGCTGTGGTATTTGGAGAGAGAACTGTATAGTAACACACGTGAAAGATAATGAGCGGTGAATGTTAAAGGAATAACTCAAAGCCCACCCCTTCATAGCTACCAGACTTGTCTTCCGAAAGTCTCCATGTGAGTTTCATTGCAGACAAAACAAATTTAGAGAGAGGAGCAACTTCCATGAGTCTCCATGTGAGTTTTATTACAGACAAAGCAAATTTAGAGAGAGGAGCAACTTCTTAGGTGATCTCAGCAAGCTCCGGGTGGGGTGGGGATGAGGAAAATGGCTTCAGTAGAAAGATCTCCGGACCCATGGCCACCTCACTACTCTGAGCTCATTTCCTTCGTTTGACATCAGTATTTATTGGCTGATTTTACTAGGGAATAAAAGTTATATAGTCCCCACCATTGCCAAGATTAGCAAGTAATTGTGCCGAAGCCAAATTGCAGTGGAAGGAGTACGATTTGTGAAAGAAATAAAGCTCACACTGAGACTGGAAGGTAAGCTGGTAGAGTCAGCAGGGGTGGGCTTTGAATTGGGGTTCTTAGTGCTTGAGCAAAGGGACCATAAATGAGCCAGGAATTGGAAGTGGTCCAAGGGGATGTTGGGAATGCAGTGTGGGAAGAGGAGGATGGAACTACAGAGGCCAGGGTGTGAATTTGAACTTTATCCCTGGGGTGATGAGAAGGGTTTTAAAAGACTGAAATAAAGCCCCAAAGGTCGCTTTAACCAGGGTCTGTAGGATTATCAGAAGGTCAAGGGCTGGGCATGGGCATGGATGGAGAAGTAGGCGAGCTCTCCTCGTCATTCTGTAAGGACGGGATTTGGTGGTTAGTAGGTGGAAGGGAGACAAGGGGAAAATGTCAAGAATGACATCCTGGTTTCTGAAACAACTTCTTGAAATTCTAGAGGTGCAACGGGCAGGTGGGAGCTCTTCTGACAGATTTCCAGGGCCTGAGGGAAGATTTTAAGCCTCTAGCCAAGGGAGGATTTTGGTTAGATAACTCAGATCTCATCCTCAGGGACAAAATCTAGGGTTCAGATACAGATCTTATAGTCAGCAGGCTATGGATAATAATTAAATTTTCAAATGTAAAAAGAAAAATTTAAAATAATTGAGATTTCAGGGTAAGTAAGCACCCTTGGTGAAGGAAGAGAAAATAATTTCTAAGGTAGAACTTTGAAGAGTACCATGATTCGAGGCGGAGGAAAGGAAAGTGTGAAAGAGACCAAGAGAGGAGTAATGAGAGCCATAGCCAGGCTGAATGGCCAGAGGCCTCCCTCACTCTGAAGTCCAAGGTCCTGCAGAGCTTGGGATCTTAGCCAGGCCTCAGAAACAGAGCATAGCGAGAAGGGACATTCCACGTAGCGGTGCCACATCTGCCAACTCCCTGACAAGAAACGGAGGGTGGGCTCAGACCAAATAACTCGAGAGGGTTTCAATAAAGAGGCCGTTTACAAGGATGTAGGAAGCCTCAGAGAAACAACAAGGCGGAAATCTGGCAAGAGTCATAGCAGAGACCCTTTACCATCCCAAGGCCCAAAGCCAGCAAAAGAAGATGGCCTGTGTGGTGACATGGCCTTCTGAAACACCCTCTCCCCACTCACCCTCCTCCCATGCCACTCACTGTGCCCTCTCCTTTGTCACTTGTTGCCTCCTGTTGGTCAAACAAAAGCCAGAAAGGACAGGAGCCCGGGTGCAGTCTAAGGAGACAGTATTCCTGGGGCACAGAGCAGAGTGGAGAACAGAAATGGAAGGAGGAACGGACTATTCTAGAACAGTTACCCTGGAGATGAGATTGGGGAGAGAGTATATTAGCTTCTGTATTGTTGTGACAAAGAGCAAATTCAGTTGTTTAAACACTACGAATGTTTTGTTACACGGGACATGACTTCCAGAGTCCCATATTCCTCTTCTCATGGCCTTTCCTGCATCTTCAAAGTCAAAAATCATGATGTTCTGACCTTCTGCTCCTGTCCCCCTTCCATCTCCTTAGTACTCTAGGGTAAACTGTGCCCTCTCAGACAATTGGGAATCCCTTCCCTATGATAGGCCTTTAATTTAGGGGTTGGGAATGTAGGTCATTGGTAAGATCTAGGTCCCTTAGTGTAGCCCAGAAAGAAGCCCCTTCATGGACCTCTCATTTTTCATGCTCCACAAATCCCCCTCCCAGCCACCCAACCCATCACGTATCTTCCTATCCTGAGTCTCTGCTTATGTCCTTCTCTATCCTAGATGGTCCTTATGCATCCATGTCCTCCTTAGGACCTCTTCCTTCAAGGACCAGTGACAATCTCTGTTTTGAGTGACTCAAACCTCCCCTTTAGTGGTTTTCGACCTACTTCAGACATTATTATAACACGTATTTCATGGTATTATTGCCATTTGTGTGTCTGTCTCATTGAGCTACAATCTTCCTGGGGGAGCTTTTCTAGATGATGGCAATGGCAGGTATACAGCTAACACTCGCTGTCTTGGAAGAGCTGGCTGGACTGAATGCAAAGTTGTCTTGCTAGGAGGAGAGATCTGTAGAATGTTCTGCAAGGGACTGAGTAAAACTTGCATTTGGTGTGAAAGTTTAAGAACGAGGCATTTCAGAGTGGCGGGGGACTAAAAGAGGATGTTTTAGGGGAGAATGGCTACAGAAACAGTAACAACCAAAATAAGAAGTGGACATGACACCCAGAACGAGACTGGGGTACAAGGCACTAGGAAGAGTTGGAGGGTTGCACTGGTGGATTGGTGTGATCAAAAGGCATTATTTAAAGGCAGGAGCCCTCAAATAATAAAACATACTATTAAAATGATCTCAAAGACATCATTTTCAAAAACAGAAATTAATAACGAAGGGAAAAGAGAAGTAGAGAGAGTAACTACGTGGCCAGGGCTTGCGAACAAACGTCTCTTGGTTTGGTTGCACAGAGTGATAGGACAATGTGTCCTCACACTGATCCTCTAACCCCTTCCCTGAATGAATCCTGCTGTGTTCTCCTCAGCACTCTCTAGCCTGAAAGGGCACAAGTGTGCCACTCACAACTGCCATACAATTAGTCATTGTTCTTCCCTGCTTTTCAATGGAAAGCATCGAGAGAGGTCTTGTAGTAGACTGGAAAAGCACTCACTACCCTGGCAACCAGAAGCCAGACACACAACCCATAGCTACAGCTCAGTCACAGTCTACAAAATCGAGTGGTGGTACCTTGCAGGGCTGCCCTAAAGGGAAAAATAATTGAAATAATGCTGTGTATGAAAAATGCCTCAGACTGTACTCAGCTCTGGAAATGAAGCAATGCTGCCCCTTCGGATGAATTGTCGGTACAGTGGAACCCATCGCCGGCGTAGCACTGTCTATTACTGATTTTACAGTTGGCAGTAAGGAGATGACAGTTTTGTTCTTTTAACAGTGGTAGTGTGAAGTCCCGGGAAGCTGGCCCACTTCAAAGTGCATGAGAAAGGTCTATCTGCGCAGCCATGGCGCTCCCCTTTCAGAAGGAGCTGGAGAAATACAAGAACATCGATGAGGACGAGCTTCTTGGCAAGCTCTCAGAAGAGGAACTGAAACAGTTGGAAAATGTTCTAGATGACCTAGATCCCGAGGTTTGTGGCATGGGACTGGAGTTCGGTGCTTAATAAGAGCAGGGAAAAAGGGGGACAACAATCGCCGAAGGAGGTGCCTGCAGCCCCAGTGAAGAATTATGGGTTCTTCCCCACACTGCTGAGCCTCTTTTACAAGCTTATGGCAAGCCAGGGCCACTACCTACCGTGTGTTTCTCAAAAACTAGTTCACTGTCAATGATGAAAAGTGTTTTCCATTGGGAAAGGACAGTCTGGCTTAGCGTGGGACTTGGGGGAATGACGAGAACAAACCTTACACTTTTCTGAGTGCCAGATCCTTTGTTGGGCCCAAGAGTCCTGGGGGAAATGGTATTAGCTGCTCTTCATAAATAGAAGGCACACTTTCGAGAGTGACACACACGGGATCCCACACTGATCAATGATGTCCGAGGTGCTGTTGAAAACAACTCTGTAGTGCTTTTCTTTTGGTCTTGCTTTCTGTCATTGTTTTTGTCTTGTGAAATAGGATCTCATCTACTCCAGGATTTATACTCGTTATGTGGCTGACGATGACCAGGCACCTGCCTCCTGCCTCCACCTCCCTAATGCTGGGGTTACAGACATTTCATAGTGTTAGGGCTTTCACCCAGGGATTTGTGCAAGGGAAGCAAGCACTCCACCAACTAAGCTACAGCCCCAGGCACTTTTTGTGTCTTGAGACAGGGTCTTATAGCCTAGCTGGGCTGCAGACTCACCACATAGAGGATGACCTTGCATCCCTTCTGTCTTTACCTCTCACACTCCCAAGTGTTGGAATTACAGGCATGAGCCACCACACTAGCCAGCCTTTTTTTTTTTTTTTTTTTTTTTTTTTTTTTTTTTTAAGGCAGGTCTCACTATATAGCCCAGGTTAGCCTCAAACTCATAGAGATCCAGCCTTCTCTGCCTCCCAAGTGCTGGAATTAAATCTATGTCACCCCACAACCAACCAGGAATTTCTTTTGTGTTTTTGTTTGTTTGCTTGTTTGTTTTTGTTTTTGTTTTTTAAGATGGAGTCTGGAGTCTCACTATGTATGTAGCTAAGGCTGGGCTGGAACTTAGTATGTAGCCCAAGCTGCCCCCCAATATGCAACACCATGTCTGGCTTTTTATCAAATTTTTTTCTCTTCTTGGTTTTTTGTTTTGCTTTTCTGAGATAGCATCTCGAGTAGCAGGGACTGGCTTGAAACTCAGCATGTATGCAAGAGTAACCTTGAATTTCTGATTGTTCTCTCTCTACCTCCAAAGTATTGGGAATACATGTGCTTCCACAATTGGTATTATATACAAAATATACAAAAATATATACAAATAACTTGAAATTATATGACAATGTGTAGATGATTATCCTCATAACACCAAGTAAATTTGAGAGATTTTTAGATGTTTTTGTCAGTTCTTAAAAAGCTCGGTAGTTTCATTGTAGTATTTCTTTAGCAAGTATTTTCCTCAACCCTGATGACCTTATCTTAAACTTAAAATTGAAGGCATCCAAAATAGTGTTTTAACTCTAAAGTTGTAAGTAAATAAAACTATTTATATGACATTGTGCTGTACCAGGTACTTTGGCTATTTAAATTTTTTAATTTAAGTACAATAGTTTTATACATATAAGGAAGGAATCTTGGGGCTTAATTAGAGCAGGTGGACATAATCCCACATGTCTATCATCCCAACACTTGGGAGTCTGAGGAAGATTGTGAGGACAGGGTTTCTCTGTGTAACTTTGGAGCCTGTCCTGGAACTAGCTCTGTAGACGAAGCTAGTCTTGAACTCACAGAGATCCACCTGCCTCTGCCTCCCCAGTGCTAGGATTAAAGGTGTGTGCCACCACTGCACGGCTAACATAGTGAGGTCTGAGGTGGCATGGGCTACAAAGTGAAACCTTGATTTAAAAATCTAAAATAAAACTGGGCACAGTGGCATATCCCTTTAATCCCAATACTTGGGAGGTAGAGGCAGGTGGATATTTGAGAGTTCAAGGCTAGCCTGGACTACATAGTGAGTTTCAGAATAGCCAGTGCTATGTGGTAAGACTTTATTGAGCAAAAAAAAAAAAAAAAAAACAAAACCTAGAACAAGAGCTGGGCACGTTGATGCTTGTTCTTAATCTCAGCACTCAGGAAGTAGAGGCAGGAGGGCTCAGGAGTCAAGGCTTACCCCACTTTGAGGCCAGCCAGGGCTACATGAGACTGTGTCTCAAGGAGACAAGTCAATAAATCTTACTTGGGCAGATATCAACATATACCATAATATTCCCTTACCTCTTGATTATGTCTGGAAGAAACAAATTAGAAGTGAGTGTAGCCATCCAGACTCCTGACTTAGGAGCCTTTGTGTGTGCATACCTGACCAAACCTAATCATGATGGCCACAGAAAGACCCTTTCTCTCCACATTCTAGAAGGCAGCTGCAGAAGGTTCAGAGGCTGCTACTTACATTGCTATGCCCCTTGAGCTGGTTAGGTTTCCTCCCTTAGCAAAAGGAGTTTAGAAAAGCATGTCCTGAGAGCTGTCCTAGAGACTCCAGCCATCCGCCACATGCATTCCCTCTTACAGCAAGTGCAAAGGAGTAAAGAAATAACAAACCCTGTCCAGCACAGTCTTCTCTTCATCTCTTATCTGTCTTATCAGAGTGCAATGCTACCAGCTGGATTCCGACAGAAAGACCAGACCCAGAAAGCAGCCACTGGCCCATTTGACAGAGAGCACCTCCTCATGTACCTGGAGAAGGAGGCTTTGGAACAGAAAGACAGGGAGGACTTTGTACCCTTCACAAGAGAAAAGAAAGGTAAGGCCCATAGACTGCACCTCTTAGGACAAACTGCCCTTAACCTGTTACGGAGTGTCAATCAAAGGAGCTGACTTGGGAATAAGAGATAAGCTTTCAAACTCCACATGGTATTCTAGAACACTGGTTGGTAGACACAACACCCAGCATGAACCCTAAGGTAAATTACAGCTCATGGATGAAGATGATGATGGGTCTTTGCGGGTTCATTGGTTGTCACAAATGTCCACACTATAGTGTGGGATGTTAGTGGGGAGGTTGGGATGGGGGTAATACAGAGAATTTTCTGCTTAATTTGGATATGAACCTAACTCTATTCTCAAAATTAAAGTCGATTAGTTTAAAAGAAAGAAAATCACGGCAAGATATGTGATTAATTAAATGAATACATGGGTTGTAATGGTTCTGAAATTAATTCTGCTCGAAAGAAATTTCAAAGTTTCAAGGAAAAGCTTTAAAAATGTAAAGTAGTGCCCTACCTGAATGAACTGCACAGGCAATAGTGTTTCCCTCAGCCTTCTGTGCCTTTCTACTCTGTCTACAGTGGTCACAGCCTCACTCCCTAACCTTAGATGCTATGAAAAGCCTGTCTGTCACTCATTCATCTCGTATTTGCTGAGAACCTTCCTGGTGCAGAACTCTATGGCAGAGCCTGGACCCAGTGGTATATAAGACCTTGATCTGCCCTCAAGAGGCTTGCCATCTAGTATAAAAAACACAGGATGTAAGTGGGCAGGCTATGAGGAACCAGTCCACATTAGAACCCTCCTCTCCTCTCTTCTCTTTCCCTTCCCTCTCCTCCCTTCTTTCTCCTTCCCTCCCTTCCCCCTTCCCCTTTGCCCTAAAGAGGCTTCCTCTTCCTAAAGAGGCTCCAAAAATACCCTAGATAGGTTCCCGATTCATGCTGTTCCTGATTTCACCTTTCTCCGAAGCTGGAACTTCATGCATGCTTCCTACATGATGTCCCAAATTCTTGCAGCAACCTCAATATGGGTCTAGCCTCCACTGCCTCTTGGTTGCAGCTCTCCTTTCCTTGCTAAGCCTCAGCCTATGTCTTTATTCATTTTTCCCAAACTTGTCTAAGTTAATTTTCTCATAGGCTCTTCTCTCTGACCCAGATCCCCATTTAAAAAAAAAAAAAATCAGGAAGGTCTCGGCTTAAATGCTAGGATCCCACATTTCCCTGACCCTTCTCTGTAATTACTTCTTTTTCCTACCATGGCACCTGGGCATTGCTTTCATAGACCTGCTGCAACCATGTTCATCATTTTGCTGTTTACTTTGGGGGTTGTGTGGTCTCTGTATCAGCCTGAGAACCCCCCAGTGAAACTGGGTGACATGGAGGAGGTACTCCTTCCTCTGAGCTCTAGTGAGGTAGTTTTTAAGCCTGTGCTCAGTGCCAAGGAAAAAAAAGCACTAAGCATGAGTCATCCCTGTCCCTCCCTCTATGCTGTGCACCTCTGATGGGTCACGTGCCACTGAGAGGGAAATTAAGAAGAGCTGATGAGTGATGAGTTAGGTAAGCAGACGTGGGTTACTGTGGAGTATGAGCTGTTTCTATGGTAACACAGTTGCTGTTAGACTTACCAAACTGTGACAAGCATAAACTAAATTGTAAAATATCTCCAATAAAATCACCCCCAAATCCTGTGTTAGATAATGACTGAACACTAAGGGGAAAGCTTTTGTCATTTCTTCTCTAAGGAGAGGAGTAGCTTTGGCAAATTACTGCTTGGATCCAGGTTCATCTGCAGGAAGCTTAGAATGATGGGGTTAGGATTGGCTAGAGCTATCTGAGTATGAAAGATGCATACGATCACTTCCTGTAGCTTGGGAAATGGCTGGTAGACTAGTGACTCTCTCCTTGCTGTGACAAAATATCTGACAAAAGCCGTTAAGGAATGATGGCTATCTTGGCTCACAGTTCAAGAGTGCAGCCCACTGTGGCAGAGAAGGCATAGCTATGGAAGCCTAAGACAGAGGCTCACTTTGCATCCCCAGGGCAGAATCAGAGAGATGGATGTTGGTGCTGAGCTCCAATTCTCCTTTACCAGGATCTCAGCCCACAGATTGGAACTACCCCCATTTAGGGTGGGTCTTCTCAATTAACCCAGTCTAGAAACTCCCTCATAAACATTCTTGGAGACTTGTCTTTTCTAGATTCTGTCAAGTTGACAATACTAACCATTAGGAAGAAGTTAACTGCTGAGAGTGTATCTCAGGGGAATTCTGTGTAATAAGAGGCAGGATTCCTCTTATCCCACAGGCTAAGCCCCATCCCAGCAGTGCAGGAACCTCAAATGACACAGAACAGCTCAGTGATATGAGGTTTTGTTGTTGTTGTTGTTGTTTATTTGTTTTATTGTTGTTTGTTTTTTCCAGACAAGGTTTCTCTATTTAACAGTACTGACTGTCCTGGAACTCACTCTGTAGACCAGGCTGGCCTTGAACTCAGAGATCTGCCTGCTTCTGCCTCCCAAGTGCTGTTGTGCCACCACCACCCATCAATCCCTGCCTTTCACACCAACATTGCATTTTCTGTTCAGTCTGTTAACCCTACCCATGAGGCAGTAGAGCGCAATCATCTTTGCTTTTGTTCTAATTTAAAGGGAGAGTGTTTATCCCCAAAGAGAAGCCTGTGGAAGCTCCAAAAGAAGAGAAAGTAACTCTGGACCCAGAACTGGAAGAAGCCTTGGCCAGCGCATCTGACACTGAACTCTACGATCTTGCAGGTTAGTTCTAGGGGCTGGCTTGTGACCTCCAGCCATGCACTCACACCCCTGGTGCAAACCTCAGAGCTTCTGGAAGCTGGTGAGTACTTGTGCTGCCAGGCTAGCAGCAGCCCTATCCTACCAAGACTGGATTCTGTGGCTGAGTGAGCCATGTTTTAACCCACTCTGTTGTTCAGATGATGCCCATTCTACAAGACTCCTGTGATAAATGGAGGAGAATGGATATGAAATAGAATTGAGAGCTTAAAAGAAATAAAATTGAAAGCTAGGTATGGTGACCCATGCCTGAAATGGTAGCACTAGCACTCTAAAGGCTGAGATAGTGGGTGGTGGTGGTGCACGCCTTTAATCCCAGCACTTGGGAAAGCAGAGGCAGGTGGATCTCCATGAGTTTGAGGCCAGCCTGGTCTACAGAGCCAGCTCCAGGACAGGCTCTGAAGCTACTCAGAGAAACCCTGTCTCAAAAAACAAAACAAAAACTGAGACAGGAGGAGTATTGTGAGTTTGAGCCTACCGTGGGCAACAAAATTGAAAGCCTGTCTCAATAAAATAAAACAAAATTAGAAATTAAAAATTAATAAAATAATATGCCCATATGCTTTCCCAGGAATGTCCACATTAAAATGCACTTATGGACTTCACACATTTTGTGGTCACGTTTCTTTTTGTTTGGTTGATTTTGTTTTTGTTTTTTAATATAGTGGCCCAGTGTATACCCGACTGTCCTAGATCTTGCTCTGTAAACCAAAATGACCTCTAACTCAGATCTGCCTGCCTCTTCTTTCTGAGTACCGGGATTATAGGTGTGTGCCATCGACAGATGGCCAAATGGTCACATTTCTGTGGTCTCCCTCATGATGGCCATTACAAGCTGATTTGTGCCAGGAGGTCAGCTAGTCTTCTAGTTTCCTTAACTAGCCAAAACATGGCAGCGATAACAGGATTGTTATATTAATTGATTTTACCTGTAGATTGTATGAGTTACTTTTCTGTTGCTGTGACAAAAACACCATGACCAAGGCAACTTGTAAAAGAAACTATTTAATTGAGCTTTGGTTTCAGTCTATGATGGTGAAGCAAAAACATGGCAGCAGGGACAGTTGAACATTCTCATCTTGATCCAAAAGCAGGGGGCAGAGAAACAGCACACTGGGAATGAGTCTTTTTGAAACTTCAAAGCCTATCCCAAGGACATACCACCTTTCTGACAAGGCCACAGCTCCTAACCCTTCCCAATCAGTTCCACCATCTCAGGACCAGGAACACAAACAAGTGAATCAGTGGTGGTCATTAGCAATCAAACTACCACGGAGATATAAAGAGCGCAAATAATACAAAAGAAATGGAAAGCAAGCCTTTCCAAATTAAGTCCTTAATCAAAAGAAAAACAAAACAAACAAAAATAGTGTGATGTGGATGGGTAAGCAATACAGTTAATTTCTATAGTAGCATGGGTTACATAGTAAGACCCTGACTTGAAAAAAAAAAATCTAGAATAAGAGCTAGGAGTGTGTGTGTGTGTGTGTGTGTGTGTGTGTGTGTGTGTTCTTAATCCCAACACTCAGGAAGTGGATGCAGGAGGATCAGGGAGTCATGGCCAGTCTCAGTATGTACATAGAGATCAGAGGACAACTTCATGGAGCTGGTTCCCTCTTTCATCTTTATGTGAGATCTCAGGCTCAAACTCAGGCCATCCAGCTTGTGCTGTAAAGTGGCAAATGCCTTTACTTGTTGAGCCCAAAGCCCTGCCTGACTCTACTTCCCCAGCACTGGGATCACAGATGCACACCACACCCAATACGCAACTGTGTTCTAAGCAAGTTCTGGGCTGCTAACCCACGTCTTTGTGCTTTCAAGTGAGGTTGTTTACCAATTTAGCTGCTTTCCAGCCCCAGAACACGGATTTTTATTCCACTATAAGATGTTTGTAGAAATCTCTTTCCTGTCTGGGGGTGGGGGGTGTGCCTGCTCTGTCTTATTCTAATATGGCTGCCATCTCTGCACATCTCCATCCATCTCTGATGATATGAGTAGGTGACATCAGGTTCACAAGTCCGTATGTCCTGTCGGAGGTCTCTGTAGCATCCGAGCCACCTGGTGTGGAAGGTATTTCACATAGACTGGGCATTTTGGTCCTGTGGTAACTATGTTAATGCTTTCCCCAAGGGTTGCCTCACAAGTTTTACTGGTATTGCCCAAAGAAAGAATGCAGGGTGAGACTTGATTCCCAGGAAACACCTGAGAAAGGAGAATGAGAAAAAAGCAATTTTCTGAAGATGCCTGAGCCTGGAGTCCATGTAATAAATCCAGGGAGAAAATGCAGATAGACACTGCTTTGTATCCCCTTACTCAGCTCCCTCCCTGCTCAGATACTCCCTAAGAACTCCCCAGGAAGCTTTCTCTGTGATGGAAAGCATCTTCTCTCAGGTGGATCTTTCTAGAATACTGAAAATAACCTGCGAGTGGAAGGGCTCACAGCAAGTGCAGGAGAGATGAGGAGGGTGAAGGTACTGCCTGTGCTGGTGTGGAAGGCAGCACATGGAAAGGCACGCAGTTGAAAGGTGTGCCGATGGCTTTTTCTCCCTCTTCTCCTTTCTTCCTCTCATGGGGTGGTGCCAGGCACATTCAGAGCAGGGCTCTCCCCTTAGTGACTCCTCTCAGGAAACATGCTCACAAAGAACCCTGAGTGTGCTTTACTAACCTAGCCCATTAATCAAGTTAACAGTCAGTTGGGGTTAATAAGGAGACAGACTCCGTGGGCATTCAGTGGCTTCCCAGATCACACAGTTAGGGTGTGGCATCAGGGTTCAAACTCAGCGTGCTGCAGGTTCCCAACCCCCTTAACTCCATGATCACTGTTGTTACTCCGTTTGCAGTGCAAAGGATTGAACCAGGGGCCTTGGACATGCTAGACGGGTGCTATAGCTCTTCCATTGAGCTATAGCCCCAGCCCTTCTGACAAAACAGGGTCTCACTATGTAGTGTAGGCCATCCAGGCTGGCCTTGAACTCTTGAACTCTCTATATAGCCCCACACTGACTCCTGGATTCTTTTTGCTTCTCAAGTGCAGCTGTGTGCCATCACACACCCACTTCTAACTCCTATTCTTACTGGCTTATCCACTAGCCCCTCTTTATACCATGCTGTCTGCCTCCCTTCTAAAGTGTAGCTTACACTAGACCTAATCAGGATCTCAAGGGCCTGTGCCTCTCCCCCCGTAATTTCACTAGAGGGGAAATCTGTCTCAACTTGCCCAGCACCACCCTGCCGATGGTGTTGCTCCCTGAATGCCTGACTCCCGGTGCCAGTCCCGATATACCAGCAGGGACTGAGAACTTGTGTTCAGCTGACCTGTTGTTCCTGATAGTCCTCCTCTTCTTTCCCAAAGGCAAAGAAAGGAAACTCCTTTCACTACTTAAAGAGTACTACAGTCTTTCTGCTTTTGCTTCAGGGTTGGGTAGGGACATAAATCTACACACATCAGATCTTTGAAAACCTTAGACTCAGTCGGGCTTGTTGGTACAGTGTTAATCTCAACACTCTGGAGGCAGAAGCAGGATTACTGCCAGTATTAGGCCAGCCTGGTCTATGTGAAGAGTTCCAGGCTAGACTGGGTTACAAAGTGAGACTTTAAACAAAACAAAATCCTTAGATTGAATCCCACCTTTTTTATTTTTATTTTAAAGATAAGAAAATTAAATGGAGGTGGGTATGGTGGCACCTACCCATAACCACAGCATTTGAGAACAGAAGCAGGAGGATCACACTGGGTTTGAGATCAGCCTAGCCTAGGAGTGAGTGAGTTCCAGACTATCTAGGGCAATAAAGCAAGACCCTGAGACCAAAATAACATCAACAAAAAAACAGCTGAGTCTACTTAACTATCAGAATATTCTAGTTTCATTTCTCTTGTTATGATAAAACCTCCAAGCAATCCAGGGGGTGGAAAGAATTTATTCGGCTTACATTTCAAGGTTGCAGTCCATCATTGAGGGGGAGTCATAACGTGAGTCCCCAGTCACATCACACCCACAGCCAAGAGCAAGGAGAAATAAACATATAGATGCTGCTGCTTCTATGCAGCTGGCTTGCTTCACTCTTGCCCAATTCAGGTTCCAGCTGCTCACAGGGGGCTAGATCTTTCTACATAAACAATGATCAAGACACCCCCCCCCCCAGATCCCAGACATGACTGCCAGCCAGAGTAATCTAGATAGAGTAATCTAGATAATTCCTCATTAAGATGCTTTCCAGGTGACTTCAGGTTGTGTCAAATTGACAGATAAGACTTATCAGTGTTTCAGTGGTTGGAAGATGTGTCTATACAGTTGTTTCTCAGCTCCCAAAGGGTCCTGCATGTTTAAACACACACAGGCATGTAGAGTTACAGGTGGTCTTGAGAGATTTTAGCAGTAAGTTTATTGAATTCTGTACTCACACCACACACTGTGCCAGGAAAGGGAGTCTGGAGACTTTGTGCTATGTAAAGAGTTGTTCTTCAATGTGCAAATTGACATGTGGCCATCCTGATATGTGTTTCAAAACTTAATGCTTGTCTTTGATGCCTGTGTTTTCAGCTGTCCTTGGAGTCCACAATTTGCTCAACAATCCGAAGTTTGATGAAGAAACAACCAATGGCAAAGGTCACAAAGGGCCTGTAAGGAGTAAGTGGATGAGGGACTTGGGGAGCTTCAGAGCCTCTGTCTGGTGCCTATAGGACAGACACCTATTGCTGCTAGACTGAACCATTGGGCTCTGAACAATCAAACCCGGTGGAGAGGCTGATGGTGGGCACTCTGCCTGGCAGTGTGGCTAGAACCACAAAATACACATTTCATGGCAGATTGTCCAGCAGAGGGGAAAGTCCTGGTAAATTTGAAGAGTCAGCTCATAATGCAAATAGAGTTTCATGTTCCAAAGAATATTTTATCAATGAGGGAAACTTGACTATGCTCCCTTGTTTATTCCAGTGTCTTTTTGTCTCTAAATACCTAAATACCCCCAGAAAGCATGAAGGATGCCCTGACCTTTAATCCCAACACTAGGGAGGCCAAGACAGGCATATCTCTGAGTTCAAGCCTGCTCTACAGATTGAGTTCCAGGATAGTCAGGGCTACACAGGGAAACCCTGTCTTGGCGTGGGGTGGAGAAACTATCTGTACATTAGAATATTAATCTTTTGTATGTTACATGAGTTCCAAATATTTTCTGATAAATTGGTATGCATTGATCTTTGTTTGTTTGTTTTGAGACAGGCCTGAAATTCACTGTGCAGACTGGCTTCAAACTCATTATCCTCCTGCCTCAGTTTCCCAAATTCTGGTATTACAGGCATGTACTGGCTATATCTGACTTAAATGATTTATTGGTTTATTTTTATGAACATATGTACATCCATTGCCAGGAGAAGCCAGAAGAGGGTTTCAGATCCTGAATCTGGACTAACTTATGTTTGTGACCCATCTTAAGGGTGATTAGAACTGAACTCCAGTCCTCTACGAGAATAGCAAGTGCTTTTAACTGCTTAGCCATGTCTCTAGCCCCCAATAATTGTTTTTTAAGATGTTTTTCATTCTTCTTTTTCATTCCTTGGTCTTTCTCAAAGCTAAAGCTGCAAAATGGAAATTGGAGGAGGGCAGTGATCAAGAAGCCAGGGGTGTCAATATTTGGGGCCTGGGGATAGAGGTGTAGCTCGGTAATAGAACATATACTTTGAGCAGGTTCTGGGTTCAAGTCTCAGCATCACACAAACGTTTGAAAAAAGGCTTTGGGAAATGAAGAGACTCATTATGGTGTCCATTTTTCATCTCAGAGCGTATGGTCTGCTGAAGATAGTTGGGGAAAGTCCATATGGTACAGCAGTAACTACAGTGGATGACCTAGGGTTTGGAGTTTGCTCCCGGGCCTTCTGAACTTTGATGTGTCAGCCACTGAGTCCCCTTGTGGGAGATGCAAAGCATCTTCCTTACAAGCTAACCCAGAAAAGCACCACTGCCCCGCCTGCTCAGTGAGAATCACCTTACTCTCATTGGTGTTGGGGTGTTAAACTCTACAGGAATGAGTGATATTTTCTAGGACAGCATTGCCAGTTTGATAGAGGACCTCTTGCACTATCCATGGGAATCACCTTACTCTAGTTGATGTTGGAGTGTTAGACTCTACAGGAATGAATAGTGCTCTCTGGTGAAGCCATCATTAGTTTGGTAGAGGACCTCTTGCACTATCTTTCATAAATTAAAACTTGTGTTGTAGATGTTGTCAAAGGTGAAAAAGCCAAACCAGTATTTGAGGAGCCACCGAACCCCACAAATGTGGAAGCAAGTCTGCAGCAGATGAAGGCCAATGACCCGAGCCTGCAAGAGGTCAACCTGAACAACATCAAGGTACATGTCTGCCTTTACCTCTTGGCTTATCCTGGCATCACAGAGCTGGCTGGAGATCATCAACTGCCTGCTTTTACACTGGTTTTTAGTCCTTTCAAAATGCTGACTTCAGACAAAATAACTTAGTCAAAAGACATGGGTCTCCAAGAAGAATAACTTCTAGAATTTACTGAAAAGAATACCTGGGCCAAAAGAAGCACATTATACCTACTGCTGAATAACAACGTCAACAGTTATAACAACTTCAACAGTTTTCTTTTCTTTTCTTTCTTTTTTTCTTTCTTTTTTTTTTTTTTTTTTTTTTTTTTTTTCCTAGTGTTAGGAGTCTAGTCCCAGAAGTCTACGCCTACAGCTTAGTTCGTGGAGCATGTTTGACGTCATGCTGCTATTGAAGGCAGGAAAAGAAGGGAAGAGGGGAGGATCATGAACAAATAGGAAGTGACTAAGGCTTTTTTAATCATTCTCTTCAGGATGTTGGTTGTCTAGTTGATTAGTTGGTTGGCTAGTTTGAGACGAGGTTTCACTGTGTTGCCAAGACTGGTTTTAAACTCTTTAAACTAACGGTGTAAACCTGGCTGATTTCAAATTCTCCATCCTCCTGCCTCTACCTCCCTAAAGGTGCCTGGAATTATAGGCAATTGTGAGCCACCCAACATGGATGCTGGGAACTGAACTCAGGTCCTCTTGGAAGACAGCAAGTGCTCTTCTCTTCACCATCCAACCGTCTGTCTAGCCCCAGTAATACTATTTTTATTGAGTGCACACTCCATCATAGCCTTGGCTACTTAAAATTCATTATCTCATTTAATCTTCAGTGAGACTTGAAGAGATTAAGTTGCCAGGGTCACTCAGCTTGTCCGTAATGCAGCCTGGTGCATGTCCCTTGCTGTCCCTTCCTGCCTGCTGCTTCCTTCCATGGTGATTAGTACTGTACTGTGTGGCCTGTAAGAAAGAGTTCAAACATATACATGCATGCAAAACACTCATAAATACAATTACAATTAATACATATTACATAAATACAAATACAACTAAAAAAATTCAAGAAAAAAAGTAAAGGAAACAAAGAAAGGATTGCAAACAAATGTGGTTGCTCACACCTTGTATCCAAAGGTTCCATTTCCCCATGTGGCTGTGGGCACAGATTCCACCTTGTAGAGGTAGAAGCAGGGAATCACTGTGAGTTCCAGAACCTTTGGCCACATTGTGAAATTGAGGCCAGATTGAAGGCAGCCTGGGTTCCCAGAGACCCAGTTAAAATCCATTCAGTCTTTACTTACAGTAGTTATAGTAGGAGAAAAAAGGCCAGCCAAATGTTGGCAGCATGATGTGGGAAGACCCAAAATGTTATGGAATTGTAGGAAAGGGAAAGTTTAAGGTGGCCTAGAAGAACTCTTGAACAAGAGAGGAAATATTTCAACTGGGTCTTCAGAGATGAGTAGATAATAATTAGAGGAAAAAGCAATGGGAATTTTCAGGGCAAGGAGAAATGTATGAGAGACCTGTCCTAGAATATAGTTCTACCATTAAGAAGTAAAAAGAAGCCGTGGTGGTGCACACCTTTAATTCCAGAACTTGGGAGGCAGAGGCAAATGGGTCTCTGTGAGTTCGAGACCAGCCTGGTCTACTGAGCTAGTTCCAGGACAGCCTCCAAAGCCACAAAGAAACCCTGTCTGGGAAAAAAAGAAAAACAGAAAAATCTTTTGAGTCACATTCCTTTACTGGACACTAGGAGGCACTATTCACTCAGACTAGCTTAGTTATCACACCTGGGCAATAAAACTTTTAAAAGAGAATATGTAATCAGTCATCTAAATATAGGTGATAGTTAAAAGTTAGAGGGATGGGGTGCTTATTGACAGTGGAGCTCAAGGCTCATGCTTAACACATGTGAGACTCTGGGTCCAATCAAAAATGGAAAAATATTTTCAAGTTGAGGGTGAGTGTGCTTTGAGTGGCTTGTAACTAGCTCTGTCTCCTGTGCTTTAGAACATTCCAATTCCAACCCTAAAGGAATTTGCGAAGACTCTAGAGACCAACACCCATGTGAAGAAGTTCAGCCTGGCTGCAACCCGCAGCAATGACCCTGTGGCCCTTGTAAGTGTGACTTGAAACACGATATGAAGTCATTGAATTCACTGGAGACTCTATTTTTAGTTTTGTTCTTATTGTTTAAATTTAGCTAACTCTTGAGAGAGGGTCTTGCTATGTGGCCTGGGTGTGAACCCACTGTGTTTCTTGGACTTGCCTTGAATTCTCAGGAATCCTCCTGCCTCAGCTTGCCTAGTGCTGAGATTTTGGGCATGAAATCACCATTCCTGGCTCTTAGAGATTCATTTTAATGTATATTTTTATCAATCAAAAGTCTCAGATGTGGTCAAGTTAATCTGATGAATTTATAGTTCAGAGGCGCAAGCTCAGAGGCTATCAGGGCACTGCAAGCATCATGAATTAACTGGATTCTTGTCAGTGCTGCACATTCCAAAAAAGAAAGAAGATAAGCATCTTCTTATTTAGCTAAATAAATATTTAGAGTTTGTTCTGTGTTGAGGAAAGCCATTCTGAAACATTTGCTTCTACAGTAACTTTCTGTAACAGTCATTGGATGTTAAGGCCCCAAAAGCCTACTTGAGCTTGGCACATATAAAACAAGTCAGAGTATATTTTATCTTAATCTTTATGTGTGTTAATTTTCCAGGCATACTTTAAACAATCAAAATACTGAACCATTTTGTTTGACATTTAACTAATTAGAATATGGGAAGGAAAACAACCAAACTCCTAGTCCTTTAATGCGATTTAGGTAATTCAGCCAAACAGGAAGGCTTTAAGCCCAAGTAAATGCTGTTACTGTCATAGTGTCGCTGCTGTTCCTCTTGTCTGCTTTGCTAATTCCAAGCCAGTTTCCTGAGGAATTAGTACCAGTTGCTCCGGGTTGCATGCATTGCCTCACCCATCCATCACTGTAGAGCTCTGAGTATGTGCTGTTGTTAGTTCCCACTGTAATGAAAGAGGGGTTAGATTATCCCAGGTGTAGCAAGGAATGACAGAACCAAGAGTCACTGATAGGGATTCCGGGAATCAATCTGAGAGTCTATAGCATCAGTCACTGAGCTCTCAAGTCAAACTAGAAAAACAGAGTTGTCCTGGCATGATGATGTCTCAGCTGTTACAAGTGTTTGTGGCTTTTCCAGAGGACCTGCATTAGACAACTCACAAGCACTTGTAACTCCAGGGGAATCTGATGTCCTCCTCTTCTGACCTCCTCGGGTACCTCATGTACGTGGTACACAGACTTACTTCCAGGCAAAACACCCATATGCATAAAATAAAAATAAATGCTTAAAAAATATAAGTGTATATAGATACGTGTAGGTGTGTAGATGTAATTTAGAACTGTAAAGAGGTATTCCATATTCTTTTATTCATATTTTATCTTTGAAATCCATGGCATAAAACATCTATAGCACATTAGTTCAAACCAGGTATTTTTCAAAGGCTTAGCAGCTATATTTCTTTGTGGTCAGCAGGGAAGCTGTGTATTCTGGTTTCTGTTAGATTTTAAAGACTTAAATTTTTAATTACATTGTGCATTAGTGTGTATGTGTGTGTGTGTGAGAGAGAGAGTGTGTGTGTGTGTGTGTGTGAGAGAGAGAGAGAGAGAGAGAGAGAGAGAGAGAGAGAGAGAGAGAGAGGGTGTCCATGAAGTTCAGAAGAAGGTATCTGGACTCTTGGAGATGGAGTTACAGGCAGCTATGGGCAGCTTGACGTGGGTGCTGGGAACTGAACTCGAGTCCTCACCAACAGCAGCTTGTGCACTGAACTGCTGAGCCATCTTTCCAGCCCCAGAAAATTGTGTTTTTGTATAACCCCATAGAATACAGAGAGCAGAACTTTTTTTTTTTTTTTTGAGACATGTATTTCTACTCTAATTATTTATATAACATTTAGGAAATCAAGTATATGTTTTCCTGACATTATTACCACAGCACATGGAATAGATGCTCAGATATTTGATGAACTGAAGTGAACTTGTGTGTAATAACTCTAAGTTATGTTTGGCTGCATGTGCTCCATTTTGTTCAGTTTGGGGGGGAAAAGTGTTTTCTCAAGTTTAAGATAAACCAGCATGATCTTGGCTACTTGCCAGGAGGTCCTACAAGTTTTTGTAAAGAACTAATTGCTCTGACATTTCATTCTTCTAGAACCACAAGTTTTACAAAAAAGTTTGGTGTGCCCCATAAGAAAAGGCAGCCAAACTCCCCTTACATGCTCTGATTAAAATGTGTACATTTAATTTGAAGATCAATTATTAAGCGGAGTGTGGTGGCACATGCTTCTAGTTCCATCATTTGGGAGGGAAAGGCAAGCAGATCTCTGAGTTCGAGGCCAGCCAGGCCTACAGAGTGAGTTCCAGGACAGCCAAGACTACACAGGGAAACCATGTCTCTGTAAATCAGAATCAGAACAGAGAGAGGGAGAGCTCGCAGCTCTTGAATAAATATGTACCTGGAGTTGCATAGTATGCCATGTCATCAGCTCAGATCCCAGGGCTTTCAGTTCAGACAACTGTCAACACACAGGATTCTTATTCTGCCCTAATGATACTCAGATCGAGAGCTGTTCTGCCCCCAGGGCAGCGGTGGCAGATGTTTAAGGTTGTTGTGACAAGGACAGTACTTCTGGCCTGTATTATGTCTCAGAAGCTGGAGAGGCTGCTAACAGGCCTATGGTACCAGGACACCCATAGCATAGAACTCGCCAGAGCCAGGCTTTAGCCATGCCAAGGTTGAGAAATTCCACTTCATATGGAATTTCCTCTGTCCTAGCTGCCATTAAGATAATTGAAATAGTTTAGAACTTCCTTATTCTACTCCCTAGAAGCAATCGCTATTAGCAATTTGTTTTTCATTCTTCTACTTATTGCCTTTAAGACTTTAATTAAAGTGACTGCCAATCAACTGCTTATTCACTCGAGGAACAGAAGGCCAGGACACAGCTTTCGAGATCCTGACTCAGTCCATATTCATCTGGGTGGGGCCAAAATATACTTGAAATTTTACATGTATATTTATATTTAAATTTATTTAGATGTTATCTTTGTATGTGTGTGTCTATGTGGGGGGTACCCATGGAGGCTAGAAGAGGACATTGGATCCCTTGGAGCAGGACTTACAGGTGTTTGTGAGCCTTTTCTTGCTAGGATCTGGACACCTGTTTCCATGAACAGCAAGTGTTAGGAACCATATCCCCAGCACCAATTATCTGTATATTTTTTTAAATTTCTTGATACTGAAACACTTTAAACTAGTATTAAAATCTGTTCATTTGGGGGCTGGAGAGATGGCTGAGGTTGATCTTCCAGAGGTTCTGAGTTCAATTCCCAGCAACCACATGGTGGCTCACAACCATCTGCAATGAGATCTGGTGCCCTCTTCTGGCATGCAGGTATACATGCAGGCAGACTGCTGTATACTAAACAAACAAACAGACAACTAAATGTATTCGTTTAATGAGTATGTAGTCTCAGCTCTTGAGAGGCAGACACAGGAAGATGAGGATTTTATGTCCAACCTCAGTTACACAGCAAGTTCAAGGCCAGCCTGAACTACCTGAGAATCTGTCTTCACACACACACACACACACACACACACACACACACACACACACACACACACACACGAGAGAGAGAGAGAGAGAGAGAGAGAGAGAGAGAGAGGAGGGAGGGAGGGAGGAGAGAGACAGGCACAGACAGAGGCTGAAGAGAGCTCAGTGTTTAAGAGAACTGGCTGTCCTTCCAGAGGGTTCCCAGCACTTACATAGTGCTCACAGCTGTCTGTAACTCCAATTCCAGGTGATCCAACACCCTCTTCTGGTCTCTACTGGCTCAAGTGTACACATGGTACACAGACTTACATACAAGCAGAACACCCATACATAAAAATTAAAGAATAAAAAATAAGAGAAAACCGTGCACTCATACACACCATGTGAGTGTTGGGACTCAACCCAGGTCCTGCAAAAGAACAGCCAGTGCTCAAAATCGCTGAGCCATCTCTCCAGCCTCTACTGAGCTACTGTAGTTCTTTTCTTTTCTTCTCTTTTCTTTGTTTGTGCAGCCCTGGCTGTCTTGGAACTCACTCTGTAGACCAGGCTGACCTCAAACTCACAGAGATCTGCCTCCAGAGTGCTGGGATTAAAGGTGTGCACCACCACCACCACCCGGCCCTATTTTAATTTTTAATTGCAGCTCTGAATTTTAATTTAAATTGGAGATGAAAGTGTTTCCTTTAAGTGTTATAAAATTGTGTATTGCTCATGAAATCAATCATTAGAAACCTTAACGACTGTTTCTGGACACTAAGGCTTTTGCAGATATGCTAAAAGTCAACAAGACCTTGAAAAGTCTAAACATAGAGTCCAATTTCATCACTGGAACTGGGATCCTGGCCCTAGTGGAAGCCCTTCGGGAGAATGACACCTTGACAGAGATCAAGATCGACAATCAGGTACAGAAGGGGAGCGAAGGCAAAGCTCTTCCACCCGTGTGTGTGTGAGTGTGTGTGTGTGTGTGTGTGTGTGTGTGTGTGTGTGTGTGTGTGTGTGTGTGTGTGTGTGTGGTGTCCAGAGGACAACTTCAGCTACCTTTTTTCAGATGCTGACCAACATTTTTTTTTTTTTTTTTTTTGAGACAAGCTAGACTGGCTGGCTCGGAACCCCAGGGATCCCCTTGTCTCTGCCTCCCAGCACTGGGATTACAAACGTACACCAACATACCAGCTTTCTCCATGTGAGTCCCAGGGATTGCACTCAGGCCCCCATGCTGTGTGACAAGCACTTTACTGACTAAGCATTCTCCCCAGCCTCAAGAGCATGCTCTTAAGTAAACTTCACAGCAGGCCAGCATACCCAGAAAAAGCAGCTACCCATGCCCTAAGCTAGCCAGGCAGCAGGGTATTGCCAGCTGCCTTTCATTCTTTTACCCTGTAGCCTGAGTCAAAGCCCAGCACTGCCCCAGCCTTGACTTTGCCTCTCACCGAGACTGTGATTGGAATGAAAGTGAGGTGACCCGGCCCAGACACTAGGGCTTGCTCTTGTTTAGAGGTCATTATCAGTGATCTTGAACTTATTTATTATTTTTTAATGATGTGTATGACAGAGGTCAGAGGTCAGAGACATCTTATTTTAGGGTTACAGGAGGTTGAGAGCTGCCCAATATAAGTGCTGGGAAGCAAAAGATCTTCAGGAAGAATAGCAGGTGCTCTTAGCCACTGAGCCATCTCTCCAGCCCAGGTCTTTATTTTGGGTTTTTTTTTTTTTTTTTTAAGATTTATTATTTAATTTATTTATTTATTATGTGGTGTTCTGCTTGCATGTACCCTTGCACCAGATCTCATTACAGGTGGTTATGAGCCACCACGTGGTTGCTGGGAATTGAACTCAGGACTTCTGCAAAGAGCAGCAGGGCTCTTAATCTCTGAGCCATCTCTCAAGCCCCTAAAAGAAAGTGGGGTTTTGTTGTTGGTTTTTTTTTTTTTTTTTTTTTTTTTTTTTTTTTTTTTGGTGTTTTGAGACATGGTTTCTCTGTATTGCTTTGGAGCCTGTCCTAGAACTCTCTATAGACCAGGCTGGCCTTGAACCCACCTGCCTCTGCCTCCCAAGTGCTGGGACTAAAGGTGTGCACCACCACCACCTGGCCAGCTCAGGGTTTTAGTTCTTCTTGGATATGGGTTCCAGGATGGAAAATTCAGTATTTGGACTGATGGCTGTCAGACTCCCCACTACTTAAGAGACATCCCTGCTGTAATTCCATTAGCTCTGAGTGGTATGGAAGAACAGCATTAGTTTTGCTTAAACTCACTCAGGAATGACCTTCTCTTTATTTTTGTTTGTTTTGTGTCCTGTATTGTTTTTGGGACAGTCCCATTGGTTAGCACAGGCTAGCCTTAAACTAAAGATCTTCATGCCTTAGTCTCCTGAGTCCTGCAGTCCTGCAGTTATAGCCATGCGCCCAGGTCCTCTGTTCTTCACAAAGGGTTTCTTGTTTGCTGTTGGGTTTTTTGTTGTTGTTGTAGTATGATGATTATGTGTGTGTTCATATGCATGTGAATACGTGTGTGCGTGTGTGTGTGTGTGTGTGTGTGTGTGTGTGTGTGTGTGTGTGTAGGCCAGAGGTTGATGTCAGGTGTCTTCTTGTCATGTCCCACCATAGATTTAGTAACGTGTCTGCCACTGGACCTGGAGCTCACTGATTGGCTAGACTGGTTGACCAGTGACCTCTGGGGTTTACCTGTCTCTGCACTCCCCCCCCCCAATGGAGTTATAGGTTCATGTCATCATGCCTGACTTTATAACGTGGGTCTGGGCATCCGAATTCAGGTCCTCATACTTGCACAGAAGCACTTTTCCCATTGAGCCATCCATCTCTGCAGCCTGACATCTTGTTTTTGTTGCTTTTGTTTGTTTGGTTGGTTGGTTGCTTGCTTGCTTGCTTTTGCTTTTCATTTTTGAATTGCAGCAGATTTGGCTGTCTGCATTCTGTTTCTAGATTAAGAGCCAGACCCAATGACTACGTGGGAGGGAACGCCTCAGGTGGCTTTCTCCCTTTCTGTTTCAACTTTTTTGTGGAGGTCGCCATGTAGTTTTCCCCTGTAACGGTTTCCTTTCCTTTCCTGTTTATCCCATGTATATCTGTGTGCACCCACAACCAGAGGCAGCAGTTGGGAACAGCTGTGGAGATGGAGATAGCCCAGATGCTGGAGGAGAACTCAAGGATACTCAAGTTTGGGTACCAGTTTACCAAGCAAGGGCCACGGACAAGAGTGGCAGCTGCCATCACAAAGAATAATGACCTGGGTAAGGCAGATGTGATCTGTGCTGGAGACAGTAGGAAGCACACTAGTGATATTCATCTTCCCACTTTGGAGGCAACATCTCAGATGCCTTGCCACTGGGCTGGTGGGCATCTTATTAGGTGGTCATGGCAATCCTCTGGTCTTCGAGGTGTTAAAGCTTCAGCACGGCATTTTTGTAGAAGAGCTGTTTAGTTTAGCTCTTGCTTGATTTCTTTGTCTTTGCCTCTCCTCCCCTCCGCTTTCCTCCCTTCCCCTCCCCTTTCCTCACCTCTCTTCCCCTCCCACTTTCCCTCCTCTCCTCCCCTCTCCCTCCCCTCCCCCTTTCTTCTCCTCTCCCCCTCCTCCCCTCTCTTCTCTTCTCTTCTCCTCCCCTCCCCTCCCCCCTCTTGTCCTCCCCTCCCCCTTTCTTCTCCTCTCCTCCCCTCCCCTTTCCTCTCTTCTCCTCTCCTCCCCTCCCCCCTCTTGTCCTCTCCTCCCCTCCCCCTCTCCTCTCCTCCCTCTGTGCTGATGGTATCCTCTCTGTGTTTGGACACAGGGCATGTTCCTTATGCTTGATTTCTGATGGCACTTTTTTTTCAATACTCAGGCTTACATTTGGGCACATGTGTATTTTATATGTGAAATAATCTAGTAGAGCTACATTACACAGGTTAGACTCTCACAGAGCTTTTCAGGGAGGCCTCTCTTTGCCTTCCATGCTGTTACACTTTGCTGGGGAGCCACACTGTTCCTTCTGTCAGAAGGAGATAGGGCATTTCCTGGACAGTCACATTGTGGAAGGATGGGTCAGATTGGGAAGGCTATGTCTGGGGACATCTTAACTACCTAGAGCAGCATAGCAGAGGGATATCTAAGACTGGACAAGTCCACTTGGCAGTCAGCCAGCAGCAGGCTTGAGTCCCTTGTTTGAAGTTTGGGAACAGTGTATCAGACCTTGGCTGGACAAGGGAGAGAGAAAGATACTGGTAGGGCATAAGGCCATACTTACCCATTGGATACAAAGCGTGAGACCCATGACCCAGCAGAAGGCTTTGGAAAGGATGGAAACAACCAGAAAAATAATAATAATAATAATTAATTTTAAAAAAAAAAAGAAAGAAAGCATTCTAGGTCTATATCTGAGCTGCCCACAAAAAAAAAAAAAAAAAAAAAATAAGCAAAACAAGGCTCTAGAAATATTGACAACAGATCCCACACCCAGGAAAAGCCATTGTATGCAGCCGCTTTCCTATAGCTTGAGCTACTGAAAGTAGGGAGTTAGAGGGGACCTCAGACAAAGTACCCATTGGCCAAATCCAGGAAGCTTCTAGAAGCCCTTTGTTATCAACCAGAAGAGTCTGCAGCCCAGGAAAGGAAAGGAGAAGATAGGGATTGTGGAAACCGAGTAGGCAATTAGGTATGGGGGGTATGTGCCTGTAACTCCAGCATTCAGTAGGCTAATGCAGGAAAACCCTGCTTGAAGTGCAACCTGGTCTATGTCAGAAGAGGGGAGAGAAGGATAGAATCAGCCAACATTTTTTGTTTGCTTGTTTGTTTTTGTATTTTGTTTTTTGAGACAGGGTTACTCTTTGTAACAGCCCTGACTATCCTGAAACTCACTTTGTAGACCAGGCTGGCCTCGAACTCATATAGATCAATCCACCTGCCTCTGCCTCCCCAGTGCTGGGATTAAAGGTGTGCCACCACTACCTGGCTGAATCAGCCAATTTTTAAAGACTTTTTTTATGTATGTGTATGAATGTTTAGTTTGCATGTATGTCTGTGTACCACATATGTGTCTGATACCCTCAAGGGTCACAAGGAGCTCAATCCTCCTGGAACTGGGGTTATGGCCAGTTGTAAGAAACTATATGGGAGCTACAAATTGAACACAGGTCATCCAAAAGAACAAATGCTCTTAACCACTTAGCTGTTTCTCCAGCTTCCATATCAGGCCATCTTGACATTGTCTTTGATCTCAAGCACTGGTTTAAAGGAATTTCAATCTCTGATTTTGTCTATTGTCTAAACTCATTTATTTGAAGACCAATATTTAGGAATTGTTTGGGGTTTTGTTTTGTTTGTTTTGTTTTGTTTTGTTTTTTTTAGATTTATTTATTATATGTATAGTATTCTGCCTACATGTCTGCCTGCAGGACAGAAGGGGGCACCAAATCTCATTGTGAGCCACCATACAGTTGCTGGGAATCGAATTCAGGACCTCTGGAAGAGCAGCCAGTGCTCTTAACCACTGATCCATCTCTCCAATCCAGAACTGTTTGTGTTTGTTTGTTTGATTGCTTGCTTGTTTTGAGACAGAGTCGTGCTGTATATCCCAAGCTCTCCTGGAACTTACTGTGTAGCCCAGGCTGGCTTCCAGTTCCTGATTCTCCTTCCTGCCTCAGCCTCCAAAATACTATGATTGCAGGTGCACTCCACCACTTAGGGGTTGTTAATCAAGATGAGATTTAGAGAATCTGATCTTCTCTTTACAGAAGCCTGGTCTCCCAGACATAGTCAGAGGTAATGGATGAGGCTAGGTTCACCTGGGGACTCTGCAAAGGCCCATTTGGTGACAGAATTACACAGAAGCCAAGAAGATGCCTGTGTGTAAAATCCCCATGAAAATACTTAGCAGTTCACAGTGACCTCTCCTGGACTAACTCTTCCATAGACACACAGAGAAGTTCCCAGTTACCAGACATAGCTTTATTTAAATTTAAATTCCTCTTTATACCAGATTATTTTGCCATTTCCATTTATTGCCATAGTTCATTGGATGTTGAAGTTAAAGACGATTCATACCCTTGAGTATGTGGCATAGAGTTTTGTGAGTTGAATACTATCTTCTAGATCAGTGGTTCTCAACCTATGGGTCAGAGGTCCTGCATATCAAATATTTACCTATTTATAAGGGCAGCAAAATTACAGTTGTAAAATAATTTTGGGGATTGGGGTCACCACAACACAGGGAACTGTATTAAAGGGTGGCAGCCTTAGGGAGGTTGAGAACCACTGCTCTGGAATGACTTTAAAGAATATTCTTTTCTTCTGTTTGTCTTTTTAATCTTTTTCTTTCTCTCTTACCTAGTTCGCAAGAAGAGAGTTGAAGGAGACCGGAGGTAAAGCTCCCTAAAAGAGGTGAAGTCGCACTACACAGCCATCTGAAAAACAACACAAACTCATCCTCTTCTCCATGGGACCGTTTTATCAAAGGCTGTTGGTTTCCGTTAACCATAATTTTAACTATTACTCTTTTTTAGCAGTACTTATTTATGTGAGATTCTGCAATGTGTGTAGCAGTTTGACTTGCTCCTGGGCACGCCTGGCAGCTTGCACAAATAGGATGATACAGATCTTAGACAATGACAATGCGGGAGATGATTTTAACCACTTTCATATTGGGTTGTCTTTCTTTCTTACATGAACATTTTCTAGTCACGGAATGGGACCTAGCGTGTGTTTGTAGATGATTGCAGTAGAAGCCTATCTCTGTTTACATGCATCACTTTGAGTTAGGCTGAGTACATGAGAAGTGCTACTGACCACATAAGAAGTGAGTATTGCCAATCTTTCACAAACTCTCCGTTAATTCCAGACAAGTGTCTCTCCGTGCACATGCCCAACTGGCTGAGGGTCAATGGGATCCTCCTTAGGAAGCACTTTAACAAAGCACTAGCAAATTAACTGTTTATCATCCCATGAGTATATTGATAATCCATGCACTTATCTTTATTGATGATTAAACATGAATTAAACATATTCGTGTAGGTGCGTGGTACTGGGGATTGTACCCAAGCTCTTGTGCATGCTAGGCAAGCACTCTACCTCTGAGCTACATCTCCAACCAAAATTATATTTAGTAGACAATTATTTATAAAGCTGTTGAAAGGCTTTCCAGGTATAATAGAAAATTTTTAAGTCTTACTAAAAGAAAATGTCAAAACAGCACATTTCCAAATAAAACAATAATAGCATCTTATGGGCTAGAGAGATGGCTTAGCAGTTAAGAGTGCTTGCTTCTTTTCCAGAGGACCAGAGTTCAGTTCCCAGCACCTATGTCAAGCAGCTAGCAATAGCCTATAACACCCATCTTCAGGGGGATCTGATGTCTCCGGCCAGTGAAAGCATCCACACAAATGTACATACCTCCCATACACATGATTAAAAATAAGTTTAAAAGATAATGGCACCTTAATCAAAGTTTGAAGTAACTTGACAAAATTTAAAAGCAATTGATGCTTCATCTTTAGCATGACAAGTTCACAGGATAAATTGTGGGCATTGTGGTTAATTATATAGATTTTTGTTATGTGCAGTTGCTTCACTACTTTTTGGCTAAAATCGGATGCTACTTTTTAATCACTTGACATGGTCAATTCAGACATTTGCAAACATTAGGTAAAAATGAATTGTCAGTTACTCGGATATTTGTCACCTCAAAGACAAAGTCTATAAAAACACAACTGAAAAGATTGCATTAATTTCTTAGTATAACATTGGACCATGCAATACAAAATTAAGTAACAAATGACAGAAGTGTTTGACTGCAAATAATCACTTCTCTCTCCTGTCATAGATAACAGCTTGTGGCAACCTCTGTGTGGTAGCCTGCTCATCTGCCCACTGCTGTGACTAAATAGCTGGCAAAAGGAACATTAGGAAGAATGGGTTGGTTTTGGCTCACAGTTTTAGGGTACCGTCCACCGTGACAGAGAAGAACAGTAGCAGGAGCATGAGGTGGCTGGTCGCATCGCATTCACAGACGGGAAGCAGAGAGAGATGAATGCTGGGACTCAGCCCGCTTTCTCCTTTTCCCCAGTCTGAGACCCCAGCCTATGGGATGACGATGCCCACATTCCGAGTGAGTCCTCCCTCCTCAGTTAAACTTCTCTGGTAACACCCATCAAGTTGATAATGAAGATAACTGTCATAGTATCTCCCTTTCTTCCTTTCCTCTACTTCCCCTACACAGCATCCTTCTTGTTTCCCTTCTCTTCATGACTCGAGTCTTACCAAGGTGATACCTCTTGTGCTATTGACAGAGCAAAAGAAGTTGCTGTCCCTGGAAGATCTTGGGACCAGTCCTGTATAGTTAGTATTAGTTACTGGGGGTTCCTGAGTTGTTTGGTAGTTAATATGTAAATAACTTAGCTTGACAAGCACGTGGGATCTATTTAGAGAGGCCTTTAAAAAACTGGATACTTGGAGGGAGAAACTGGACACTTTTACTTGTTCTATAAATATCCCTAGCTGAAAGAAAACATCCTTTGAAACATCTCATTTTCTTGACTCATTTTTATATTTTTTAGGACATAATAAGGAGGGTATGCTGACTTTTTTTTTTTTTTTTTTTTTTTTTGAGTCATTCCCCAATCCTTTATCGTCTGTCAATCTGAAAATGTATTAGGACATTCCATTTGATTGTTTTCAGTCTGATTTTTTTCTTTCATTCTCACTCATTTGGATGTGCTATAACCAGTTTGTACAGGTTTGCTGGTTGCTCAGTTTTCAAGAACTCTGTGAATTATTGCTCAACATAGCACTACTAAAAATTAAGGGAAGCCAAGTGTGGTGGCCCGTACCAGTGATACTAACACTGGGTATGGAGACAAGATCAGTGTTGGCTACATAGAAATTTGAAGCCAGACAGCTACATGAGATCCCTAGCCCATGGCCTCCCCCAGCCAAAACGCATTGACATGCATTTACAGTTAAATCAGTTATGGTAAAGACAAAAATATGTTCTTGAGATTACTAATGTATGTTATGCCTACATGGCTTAAATACTATTGATGGTGTGCTGTGACATGGATCTTCCCAGCTCTCAGCATTGACTTCTTGGCCATGGTAAGAAGAGTCTCTGGGAAAGAGTAACATGTAAGAAGCATCTCCTTCCCTCTAGATTGTTAGCTGATAAGCAGTCATCAGTTCTACCTGGGTGAAATATATAAGATGTGTTTTAACGGTAGTTTTTGGTTACCATGTTACCAAAGGGAGGATGCTATGCTTTGGTCACAGACTTGTTTAAAAGCAGAGTCCCTAGCAAACTTCTACAGTAATCCTTTTCCTTTCCTCATTCACTCTTTTGCCTTCATCTCTTAAGAAACTCTGACCCTACAGAGTGTTGCCTGCAGCCCCACATTTTGGAGAATGGGTTGCAGTTGTTAGCACACCCTGGCAAATTGCAAGAAAAAAAGTCAGATTTGGATCACAGTTATTCCTTTTTATAAGGAGTTATTAACACCATTAAAGCAAGAGAGTAAAACATTATTTTAAAAATCATACTGTTTTTAGCTTGTAAGATGAGTTTATGAGATTATTTATTACTAATCAGCTGTTTTATCATTATAGATTTTTAAGTGGCTTGTAAAGTGACATTTCCATAAGTATTTGCATATTGAAGATAACTACTAGAAGATAAAACATTTTGGAAGAATCTATCAAATCATATAATTAGTCTAAGACTTCACCTCCCTTCTGCCCAAAATGGACAATTAATTTCATCATGATGAGACATAATATGTGTAAATTATTTTTATATGTATATATTTTGCTAGCTAGTATGTTGAGTATTTGCTAATGCCTAAGTAGCTATTTAGAGGGAGCTCATGTTTCCCTAAGCCTGCCCCCTTTCCCTTTACAGTTGTACAGGCTCATAGTAAATAGAAACTTACTCACTTAGACTTGAAGGTTCTTGTCACTGATGTCTTGTCATGGCAAAGATAGATGGCTTTTAGGAGACACATTTCTCAAGTCTAGAAATTATGTCTAGTTTAGTAGTACATGTGCATCTCTCCATCTACCTTATGTGTGCAATGGAAGCTCCTTCGTCCTTTTCAGCTTTCAGAAAGCCCTGGCTTTCATCTTTGAGGGAAACGGAACCCCACCCCGTGTGTGTGTGTGTGTGTGTGTGTGTGTGTGTGTGTGTGTGTGTGTGTGTTGTCAGATATCTAATTAGGTATTTGACTACATCTGGACAACAGATTGAAGGGGAGGCTCTCCCCAGCTCCACTTCCCCTGCCCTTTTAGAGCTGCTACAGACCCAAGTTCCATGGGAAATTACCCTGGAGTCTGTAGTTTCTGTCACCCACCATCACATTTCACAGCTGTGTGGAGGATGACTCTTAGAAAATTCACTGGACTATTACCCCCATTAGCTCCTCCTATATGCCTAAAATGCATGTCATTTCATACTCATGAACATCCGTTAGCCCCCTCCTTCCATCTCTGTAGAACACACTGTATATAAATATTTTGTATATAAGGACCACCAAATACTGTAGTGAGGTATTTAGCTATATGTGGACCATGGACTGACGGGACCACACTTCCCTTTCCCCTCTCAGGGTTGTGGTGGGCCTAGGTTAGAGAATCACATGCCTGGAGGGGCAGGTGTGACTCACCCATCTTTCAGTACATAGCTCATCTTCCAGTAGAAACCCATCTCCATGTTTAAGAAAAAAAAATCACAGTGCCTGTACCCCTGGAGCCAGTTTTCCTAAAGGAAGACTGGTATACCAGACCATGAACAGCTGCTTCTCTTCCACCCACAGATGTGGGCCCTGGTGGGCACCAGCATATGGAAGCCACTGCCTTCAGAAAAGCTGCCACAAGACATTTCTAAACACAAAGCTTAGACCTGGCGTGAAAGCATCGGCATGCTCAGACAGTCCTGTAGAGTTGACAAACATGTTTGCACATCCTTTTTCATGGTTGAGACTTACTCTGCCCTCTCCTAAATATTGTGCAGGAGACAGGAAGCCTAAGAATTCTGGTCTGAGAGAAGTTGACATGTGTTTCAGGGTTGGGATGATAGACTGAGTGTCTTTTTCAAAGAGTAGATACAGAGTTTGCTTATTTCTCAGTTCCCACAACCCAGCTACTCACTCCATACTCAGTGAAAAGACTGAGTGAAGCACACATAAAGGAAAGGTACAAGAACTTTCTAAGTAGCAGGCTGATCCCACTGGGTAAGCCACAGAGCACAGCCTTTTGGAACTAACTGGCCAGAGAAAAGTACCCAGAACCTCAGCAACTTTGTTTCTTTGTTCCTCAATTCTAGATCTGACTGTACTTTATGGCTCAAGATCCTTACAAAGTTTAAAAGGGCTGGGAATGTAATATTTAAATTAATTTAATGGCAGAACTCAGTTCTACTCACCTCTCTTGATATCTCTCCCATTAGTTTAAAAGTAACAACCAATCAGTAGATAGATGAGTGATGGGTTACAAAGTTTACGTCTGTATCCTGGACACTATTCTGGAAACAACACATGAATCAGAAGTTAAGCCTATTTGGGACACATTGTTGATTTGGAGAGGGTGAAGGAGAAGGCTTGAA